TCGGGTTTCCACGCTCTGGGGTGTCTGCGGGGGGCGGGGGTCACGGCCTCTTAATTTTAACAATGAATCAGAACGTAGCCCGGGAGGTGAGCGGGAGACCACGCCCCCACGCGCTCTCATAGGCTGTCTTTGGGTACATTATTTGCATGCAGGCGGTGGGATTGGACAGTTCGAGGAGAAGGGGTGGGGCCGCGGCGGGCGGCGCCCAGATGCCCGGGGAGCGCGGGACCAGCAGCACGTTAGCCGGGCGGCCTCCATCCCTGGCTGGTCAGGGTCCCCAGGGGGCCTCGAGAGGCTGACGCTGGCAGATTTCTATTCAGGTGACGACACTGATCTCTTCTGATCGCTCGCACGCTGCCTCAGCCGCTTCCTCATTCCCGCTACAATCCCCCCAAACCCAAGCTCCCTGCTCTCCACTCCCTTCCGACGCCTGAGGACCCTTCTTAGGGATTTAGGAAGCTGTGAATGTTCCAGACAGCGGAGACTGTCTCCTCTTTCTCCCACTGAGGCTGGTGGCCTTGAACGGACAACTTTCTGGTTAGCAGCACAGCACCTAGTGCACTGTTTAACCCAGACTTAGACCTAGAGACTTAAAACCCTTCTGTGCCTCAGTTTCCTTATCTCTAACATGAGATAGTACCATCTACAACCCTGGTATCTATTAAGGCAGCTCGGCTAGACAATGAAAGGGTTGTTTGGTTTATTTTGGGGTGGGGTTGGTTTTGGTTTTTTTTGGTTTGGTTTTTTGGGTTTTGTTTTTTTTTTTTTAGGATTGGCCAAGTGGTAAGGAATTGTGCCACCAATCCAAAGATGTTGTTGTTGTTAAGTGCAGTGGAGTTGCAGGCGACTCATAGTAACTCTATAAACAAAAGTCCTCAACACTTGTGTGACTTTCATCCTTTCTCCAGGTTCATAGAGTTTCCGGAGGCAAGCTATATACGGAAGTGGATGCCACTCCTGCTTCCAAGCTTGTTTTAATCTGGGATTGCCACCAAAACACTGTCTGCCATGGGTGACCGTTATCGCATTTGACATATCAGTGTTACAGTGTTCAGCTTCACAGCAACCACAAGTTATCTCTTTTTTTAGGATTGGCTAAGTGGGAAGGAATTGTGTCACCAATCCAAAGATAGGTAGTTCAAAACCACCAGCTGCTCTTTTGGAGAAAGATGGACAGTCCACCCACGTGATTTATTGTTGTTAGGTGCCATGGAGTCAAGTATGACTCACAGATGCCCTCTGAACAACAGATCTGAACCCTGTCCTTTCCTGCACCATCCTCATCCTCTCTGACACACGTGAGCCCATTGCTGCAGTCACTATGTCCGTCCATCTCACTGAGGGTCTTCCTCTCTTTCGCTGACCCTCCACCTTGTGATTGACAGCCTCTGAAAACCTGAAGGACATTCAGTTATGAGTCAGCCCCACTTGAGAAAGGAACTTAGGGATTCTAATGCACCAGGGTCACCAAGGGAGGAAGAGGGACAGTCTCCCTGTTGTGACCACATGTAGCCCACCTGACTCAACAGCAGCGAGATTGAATTTGCCGGAATATTCACTAACTTTGATTGTAGTTAGTTGCCATGGGCAATTGAATGTGGAAATTATCAAACAGTATCATTGATATCATGTGCAAGTAACTGTTGAAGATCACTCAAAAACAGCTGAAACAGTACATAGAGAACTGCCAAAAGTTCAAGCATGGCAACAGGGATATCATTGTTGATGTGAGATTGATCCTGGCTGAAAGCAAGGAATACCACAAGAATGTCTATTTGTGCTTTATTGACTGTGCAAAGGTGTTTGACTGTGTGGATCATGACAAGTTGTGGCTGACACTGAGAAGAGTGGAAATCCCAGAGCATTTGATTGTGCTCATGAGGAACCTATACCTGGACCAGGAGGCTGTTGTGTGAATGGAGCAGGAGGGAACTGCATGGTTTGGATTTGGGATGGGAGTGCATCAGGGATGTATTCTGTCTCCATACCTGTTCAATCTGTATGCTGAGGAAATTATCTGAGAAGCCAGACTCTATGAAGAAGATGTGGCACCAAGATTGGAGGAAGATTCATCAATAACCTATGTTATGCAGACGACACAACCTTGCTTGCTGAAAGTGAGGAAGACTTGAAGCACTTATAGAAGATCAAGGAATGCAGCCTTCAGTATGAATTATATCTCAATATCAAGAAAACAAAGATTCTTACCACTGGACTGTTAGGCAGTTATGATGGATGGAGAGGAGATTGAAACTGTCACAGTTTCATCTTGCCTGGATCCACAATTAACACCCTTGGTGCCAGCAGTCAGGAAATAAGGAGACACATTGTAATGGGAAAAGCTGAAGTTAGGAACCTTTCCAAATTATTGAGGAGTAGTAACATCAGTCTGAGGACTAAGGTGTGTTTGATTCAGGCCTTGGTCTTTCCGATTACTGTCTATGCATCCGAGACCTGAACAATGAATAAGGAAGACAGAAAAAGAATTGACCCCTTTGAGCTGTGGCATTGGAGAAGAGCACTGAACAGCCCATGGACGGCCAAGAGAACAAACAGATATATCTTGGAGAGGATGCAGCCAGAGTGCTCTTTGGAGACAAGAATGATGAGGCTTCTCTTCACATACTTTGGACATGTTGTTAGGAGGTGCTGTTCCTTGGAGAGGGACATGATGTTGGGAAGAGTGGAGGGTCGGTGAAGGAGAGGAAGATCTTTAACCAGGTGAATTGACACCGTGACTGCTGCAATGGGTCTTGTGTGCACTCAGGAAGTGTGAAGATGGCGCAGGACAGAACTGGTTTCAGATCTTTTGTTCATCGGGTCGCAATGAGTCATCCTCAACTTGATGACCCCTAACAACAACAACAGCCATGGGCTTGGGTATGTTTCATGGCAACCTTAGGGAGCTCTGGTGGCCTAGTGATAAGAAGCTGTGCTGCAGTCCCAAAGGTGTACAGTTAGAATCCACTGGCTTCTCCGTGAGAGAAGGCTGGACACTCTCCTTCCATGAGATTTCCAGACTCTGAAAACCCACTAGAGGTTCAGCAATGAGTAGGTTCTAACTCCACAGCACACAACCACGACATGCCAACCTTATGTTTAAGGAGGAAAGATTGTCAGGTCAAGACAGCACCATTGGTATATTTGTTTTGTGTGCTTTGTTATTTTTGGGGTTTGGGGTTTTTTTGTGGTTTATTTTATTTTTTTTTACACCATTGGTATATTTGTGTGAAATGTTACAGTTATTGTAAAAAGAGTGCATTCTGACCTAGTGCATTATGTGACCCTGTGCTAACTTAATTATTGATGATTCAAATACATTAGGTGCTGGGGAAGGGGCCAGTGAACACCAAGAAACTTAAATCTATGCATTTACTTAGTGTTATTGTTGTTAGGTGCTGTCAAATCCAGCACAACTCACAGTGAAACTATGAATGAAAGATCTGAACCCTGTTCTATCCTGTGCCATCCTCACACTTCCTGACACACAGAGCCCATTGTAGCAGTCACCGTGTCAGTCCACCTGGTCAAGGGTCTTCCTCTCCTTCGCCAACCCTCCACCCTCCCAGCATCATGTCCTTCTCCAAGGAATAACATCTCCTAACAACATGTCCAAAGTGCATAAGGTGAAGCCTCATCTGTCTTGTCTCCAAAGAGCACTCTGGCTGCATCCTCTTCAAGAGGCTGTTCATGGGATGCTCAGTGCTCTTCTCCAACACCACAGCTCAGAGACAACAATTCTATTTCTGTCATCCTTATTCATTATCCAGCACTCAGATGCATAGCAAGTGGACTATGGCCTGAGTCAGATGCACCTTAGTCTTCAAACTGACATCACTACTCTTCAATAATTTTCAAAGTTCCTAACTGCAGATTTTCCCATTGCAATGTCTCTCCTTATTTCCTGACTGCTGGTACTAAGGGTGTTAATTGTGGATCCAAGCAAGATGAAGTTGTTGACAGTTTTACTCTCTTCTCCATCCATCATGATACTGCCTATTGGTCCTGTGGTAAGAATCTTTGTTTTCCTGACATTTGGATGTAATCCATACTGAAGGCTGCATTCCTTGATTTTCTACAACAAGTGCTTTAAGTTCTCCTCACTTTCAGGGAGCAAGGTTGTGTCATCTGCATAACTCAGGTTATTGATGAGTTCTCCTCCAATCCTGATGCCACACTCCTCCTTATAGAGTCCAGCTATTCGGATAATTTGCTCAGTGCACTGTTTGAATAGGTATGGAGAGAGCATACAGCCCTGGCACACTCCCTTCCCAATTCCAAACCATGCAGTTCTCCCCTGCTCTGTTCGCACAACAGCCTCCTAGTTCAGGTACAGTTTCTGCATGAGCACAATCAAGTGCTCGGGGATTCCCATTCTTCTCAATGTCAGTCACAGCTTCTCATGATCCACACAGTCAATAAAGCACAAATAGACATT